TTTCCCTATCGCTAATTCCCAGTTTGACTCTTACATTTTCAATGGTCAAAAATTATTCTTCCTGATTTAGTGATTTTGTTTTTATCATAGTTATAATTTCACTGTTTTGAGAGACAAGTTCTCTTATACATAGTTTTTTTCTGGGAAATACTAAGAAGAAAAGAGTATCTCTACCATAAAAGACAAATTTTAAGGTACACACTGGGTACATCTATACTAGATGTCTACTGTACAGTAGATTAATTAGCTGCACAGTCAATGTCTACACATGCACCCATCTTACTCCACAGCAGGATAGTACTTGTATTTATGAGTACTATCCTGCTGTGGAGTAAACTGCAGCAGCACATGTGTAGACACTGCCTCAGCTGGCTGGGTCATGAGGGTGCTTCACTGCAGGGGCTGCCTTCCAGCTAACCCTGTGCTGAAGGACCCTCATGCCCCATCCAGCCCCCCTACAACACATTGAGCTGAGGGGAGCAGCCCCAGGCTGGCAGACTGACCCCTTGGGCCCTCTGCCTGCTGGGGCTGCTCTGACCCAACTCAATGTGCTGCAGTCCTGGGTGCACATTTAAATGGCAATAAACACCAGAATTTATTGCTCCTGAGTTTATTACTTCACATTAATTGCCTTTGTAGACACACCCAGTATGTGACAGCCTTCTCTAGATTTCTTCCTTTTTTCTAATCCATATCTGTGTATGCTGTAAAACCTCACAAAGAGATGAGGATGGGCTTCAGATGGTGTTTTACAAAAGAATAATATTGTTCATTCAACTGTTGTTCTCTGTCAGAGCCATCATAGATTACAAAGCACATCTTCAGAAATCAAAGCACTGAGATTTTATTAAAACATGAACAAAGAAGAAATGAAAGGCTGAGATAGTTCTGTATCCCTTTTGTTCCACCTATTATCACTTGGCTTTACAAGGCTTCAGGAATTTTGGTTCCTTCCTATTCCTGCCAAAAAGAGAATATGCACAGATCCAAACTCAGAATGGACAAGCCCTCTTCAATGATTAGTGACATCTCCGGTTCCCTGAGGCTTACTGTGCAGTTGTCAGAAAAACAAACTCTGCCCATCCAGCATATCAAGTACAATACAGTTGACAACATCATAACATTGACAGAAGAGAAAAAGTGGAATGTTTTCAAAAAATAAAAGGTCCCTATAGACCGTTCAAGTTTAAAACAGAAAACACCTCTGAAATTTCAGATATGCAGGATTTTCCTGCATATACATTCAAGTGGAGCAAGTTTCATACCTTCACACAGTAAGATTCAATCACACTAACAATTTATGGCATGGTGGTGAAACTCTTAAGTGTCAGGCTGTGTTAGGAGGCAGTTACCCATGAATAAAAGACACATGAAGGTTTGTGAATTGGCTTGAGATTTTAAAGTCAACATGACCAGCTGAAAATCAAATTTGCCACCTTAGGCAATATAGAATTGGAAAACTGCAGGGTGCTCATAATATGACCCATCTGCTCAGTCTGTTAAGCAGGCATGTTTTTGCATCATGTACAAGCTGCAGGGGTTAGAGGAGTCCCTCCAAAAGATGTCTTTTATGTCCTTTGACCCAGACATGCTGCTTGAATCACCACTCACGATCTCCCAGGCAGAGTGAAATTATTTTTTTTTCCATTATGCATGCAGTTCTATTTCACATTAACCTGGATTAATTTCAGGGAAGAGAAAAAGGCTAAAATTACAATATTAAAATTAATCTTTTCACATTCCTCATCTTCCAATAAAGGAGCCAATTATAAAACAATATTTAAAAAAATCCTGAACTTTTACGCTGCATGCAGACGAGCATGGTCGTGCAGTATGCGCATGCTGCACACTCCGCATGCACATACCAAATGCACATACTGCATATTCAGCTGTTCTTTGCACTGCAAGGTAGCAGTGCGGTGGGGGTTTTTTGGCCCTGGGAAATCCCAGGGTCAAAAAAATCTGTGCAAAAAAAAAAAAGTGGAGTGAGGCACATGGGGGTAGTGTGCACCGCCCAAAACCAGAGCCTAGCCAGCAGAAGCCACACACCAACTGCTGGCCAGTCTCTGAGCAATGGAATCGCTGCTGTTATAGCCCTAGTAGGCCCCAGCAGCCCAGGTAAGGTTCTGTGGCCACCCTGGTTCTGGCCCCAGCCTCTCCTACCATACCAAGGGTAACCTGCCATGTTCCAGAGAGCACCTGGCATAGGCATTCCCCAGGGACAAGTAGCAGTGGCACAAACTGTGCCTCTGCTTCTTCTCCCCAGGGAAACAAATGTCCACATTTGTGTGGACACTAGGGGTGTATGAAGTGGGCCATATTTGATTCAGATTCAGCCCAATTCAGAGGACAGTGATTCTATTCGCTGATTCAGATCACTGTCCCAATTTGATTTGGTCAGATCTGAATCTGAAGACTTGATTATGATTCAGAGAATCAGCAATTCCGCCATAGACACAGCTTTATATGTTTTTTCTACATACCCCGAGGTACCAGGTGTGGCTCACAAACACTGAGATGGTAGGGAGGATGGAGCGTCCCAAAGGAGTGTGGGGGAGGCGGCCCATGTGCTTGGTGGTTGACCCAAAACATTGGCCACAGGGGGATCCCGAGTACCACCCACAGACCCAGAAGGCACCAGTTACTAAGCCAGGAGGCGGGGGGGGTGGGGGGGCAGAAGTAAACTGGAAATGCTTTTGATCCACTTCTAAGTCTGCTGCCGAGTATGATGGGAACTGCCCCCATGCTCCTGTGGGATGCTCCATCCGCCCCACCATCTCAGCATTCACGAGCCATCTGGTACCTTGAGGTATATAGAAAAAACATATAAAGCTGTGACTATGGCTGAATCGTTGAATCTCTCCAAATAGAATCAGAGGCTTCCAGTTCGATTCAGACAGATTAATAGATCTCCTGATTTGATTCGGATTCAGAGATTCAGCCACCGAATAGGGCCGAATCTGCTCCAAATCAAATCAGCGACCGAAGCTTTGTACAGCCCTAGTGGACACGGCCTTAGCGAGTCCATATCAGTATCATTACTACTACAGTAAATCAACTTTGTAGTAGTAGGGCCTGTTACACCTTACACTGTGAGGTGCACAAATGTTAATCAGGGTTTGTATTAGCTGGGAGTTTAGAGCAGTCACAGCCTAGTCTAGAATCCTTCTCCGACTGCCCCCCACCTGCACACCTGTGACTTGCTACTAGCTGTGACTTGCATGGTGAGCTGGGGCAGAACTAGGAGCTGTACCTGTGAGTTGCCACTAGAGGGCTGGTGAGCCAGGATAGGCTTCTATCCCTGCTCTATGGGCAGAGGTGAGAGAGATCCTGGGATACGGGAGGATTTAAGCATGGATGACATGTATGTGGGGAGTGGCCACACCTTAATGGAACAGGAGCTGGGTACAGCAAATCAGGGAGAATCCTATCCGGGACTGGCATAATTTTGAGATGCAAAATAAGCACTTATAACCACTTTAAGGTGTTAATGTGCAGACGATCCAGGGGTTAAGAGCTCCAGGAGACACCCAAAATTACCATGTAAGAAGGCCCGTAGAGGATGTGAACAGGCTTCAGAGTGTGAGAATAAAAAAACCCTCTAGATATTAAATGCTACCTTTCTGTAGGAATAAAAAAGCTAAAATAGCACCTGTATTCATCACACTAACTCAATTTAACATTCATTACTTTAGAACATTTTATGTTCCTCAAGAATCGGAGGGAAAAAAAAAGAAAAATATACTAGAAAATCCTAACAAAGAGTAGAATTACTGAGTTATGAACTGATTTCTTTCTAGAGTACAAAATTTTCCCTCACCATATTGCTCAGATTTGTATTAATCTTTCACATGAGTCATTAGGAAAAAAAATAGTAACAAGAAATTATTAACACTAATTGAGAAGTTAGGTGAGCATAACATGGCTTCTTCACTTCCCAAAATAGAAGCCTCAGCTCAATTACAGAAATGTTGTACTTCAGCTCTATATTGCCTAAGCAATACTTTCATACATATAAAAGAAACACAAGACGCTTTACTGAGATTAATGGAATCTTATGCCTGCTTGTGTTAGGGCTGAATTTAGCCTATAATCTTTTTTTTCTTCACGAAAAATTAAACTTTGTTTACACATTTCCAAATCAACCATTTTCATTCTTTTTTGAGTAAAGCAATAGTGCAAGATTACAATGAAAGGCAAGACACAGCTCAGTATCACTGGGGTACTTAGTATATCACAACCGATTCCTCAGTCATGCTGGTTTAAATCCAGAGCAACTATGGATTTCAAAGGAGTTGCTTTCAAAGAACCTGATCCAAACTATTTTGGCTAAAGAGTCAAAGAAACCTAAGAAAACTTTAGGTAGGGGTACATTTGAATGGAATAAAAAAAACATGAAAGGCTTGTTTTAAAACAAAAGCTAAGAAACAGGAAAAAATATTTCACGAACATTTTCATTTTATTCTTTAATGTAAGATACAATAATAAATTATTTTTAATTAATTTCATGTTGGCATTTTATAGCTATCCAAATCTGCCTGGTAGCCCCTGGTTTTATCTTCCACATTTTTTACCTCATATTTCTAAAACTTCTGTTATTTTCCTTTTCATATACTTTATGGCAAAATAATCAACTCTTAACTTTAGAATCCAACCCTGGGCTTGCAAAATTTTGCCCAAAGAAATCTCTCCCACCCAAGATTTACTTACCAGAGGAATTCCAAATACTAGGCTCCAGGCTTATATCTGTTATGAAAGAGTCATGCCACTCCTCCCTTTCCATCCCTACTTACTGCTGCATGAGAACTGCATGTGAAAAAGGAATTTTTCCAGCAGATCTGTCTCTGTTTTGTTTCTTCTTTTCAGGGTCACAGAAAATCCTCACACAAGTTCAGAACAAAAACAATGATGACAAATCTGCAGATCCACACAGACCAAAACAAGCTGGACTGGATCATAAAACAGAAAGTGTTTCTACACAGAAATATTGAACTAATGGTACCTTCAAAGCTTCCATAGGATGGACATTTAAACTCCACTTAAATCCAATCCCAAAATAGAAAGGATCTTGGAAATCTGTCCTACGGTTTGATCACCAAAGTCCTAAATGATATTGCCCAGGAGTCTATAACACTTTTGGCACATATAAGGAGCCAACATATTTCATACAGAAAATATTTTTGTCTCTGGGTCTCATTTCATGGACATCAAAGAAAGAATAACTTCGTTTCTCTCCTCTCCTTAGGAGGAGACCTAAACCACTTCTGCATGTTCCCCAAAGTGCTGCAGAACAGTGCATCCGATTCCTACCTACACAGTCCTGCTCTGCACACACTGAACTCAGAAATAATACGGTGAAAATCTACTTTTTTAGGAGCAAGAGAATAAACTTTATTGATGCCAAATGACTTCCCTGGACTTTTGGAGGAGGTGTTAAGACTGCATGTCTACACACAAACCACAGTTAGCATATCTATTGACACCCATATCTTTGTATCTAGATTCCTTAGGTTCAGTGTTTATCTTTGGTCCCAAGCCAAAAAACCAATTTCTTCCAGTAGCTTTACTTTATTTCAAGTATATTAAAAGACTCCCCCAATTAATATCAGTACTGATCTGTTCCTTTCAGTTGCTTCATAGTCACCTCTCTCAGGGACCTCTCTTGTCCTTCTCTAGAACAAAATGGTCTTAAAATCCTGCCCAGGATTCTGACCTAATTTTTGTATCTAATATTCTTTCTGTATCAATTGGAAGATGGCTTTTATAACCTCTGCTCTGACTAACGAAGCTGTGTGCCCTAAAAAGCCATCATCCTGAGTCATGTCCTTCATCATGCTCTTCCATTTACAAAAGCAAAAATCCCATTGAATGTCAGCTACATTTGAGTTCCTAGCTCCTTTAGGCACTTTTTAAAATCCTTCGTCCCTCCCACTAACAGGATCTCATTGTTAGGTTTACAAATCAGTATTATCAATTTATCACTCACATCTGCAAAGGTGTAAGTCTCCTGTCATATTGAATGAAATAGTTTGAATGTTTGTAAAAGTTGCCCATTAGCCAGTTTCAGGAAGAAGATAAGATTTATCTCCTTATCTAGCTCATTGTTTTCGGACTACGTGCAAAAGGTCCTGACTTCACTTAAAGTCTTAATTTAAATTTTATCTTTAGAAGTCTTTTACAAAGAGAGCAAATATCCTGAATTCTGAGAGATCAAACCCTAAGGCCTTTTAACCAGATTGGTAAAAAAGGGCATTTGCAGTGATATGGAAGTCTCCCCAAGAGTAATTTAAAATGCTCAACAAAGGCAAAAGAATCTGTTGAGTAAGATTCGAGCCCAAATTTGGGGGTAATGACAGGTTGAGTAGGAGGAGCCCACTGACGGCAGCTCGCTCAATAAAAACTGTAACTTACTGTCCCAATTTGGAGGTGACTATACTTGCAGAACAACGAAGGAAGAATCGCAAGTGTAGGCCGGATCAGACTGATCACCTGAGCCACCCTCTCCGTGAACACGAATCTTTTAGTTCACGCTGAAGCCGCGGAGCACCTGAAAGGGACTGAAGGAAGGGGACTTAGTCCTATCACTGCTGAGGCCAGCCTATTGAACCGTACTACTGAGGCCAACCCATTAAATCGTACTACTGAGAAATGAAAACATATTTTGGTATTTGGCTTCTCGGAATTCTAGGATTGTAAGTATAATATGAAAAATAATAGTATTGATTCAAATTTAACTTTTAGTTGTAATTGTAGTTGTTTTTGTAACACTAATTCTTATAGCATTGTTTGGGAAGGAAGTGCATTCGGAGCATTGTTTCTGATATATGTAATTATTGTGTTTTTAATGTTTGTGGTGTTTCTTAAAGCTAAGCAGTGTTATATACGTAGTAAAGAGTTTTAAAATAAAATTGTGTTGTATAAATTAAGTGTGTAATCATTGTGAAATTGTGCAATCAGCTAACTACTCCCCCAGCCAGTGCATCAAAACGAATCAGTAAATTGTGTGGGATTTTCTCTATTCCATAACCCACTAGAGAGATCTCCCTGTCCAGTCTAGAGAAACAGAAGACACTCTTTGGTCAAGGAGTGACATAAAACACAGGTATATGAGATCACTTCTATGCTTACCACAACTGGAAAAAAAAAGGACGTACCAGCCAAGTTCCACCCACAACTCGAGCTTTGTCTCGCTGAGATTCAAAAATGAGGCACTACTCACACTACATGGTACAGATGTTCAAAATATGATCAGGCCTGCTCTGTTGGATTCCTCAGACCTGGCTCTCCCTCACATGAGGTTTGGGTATGTCCAAGGGCATAACTGGATTAAGCCATGAGGAAAGTAATTTCATACCTATGATTTTAGATCAGTCACAGGATGATTTTAAGCATTTAAGTTTTTGTTTAAAGAAGTATTTTTTGGAAAATTTAAGGGAAAAAAACCCATAAAAGAGTAGCTAAAAAATATAACCCACATACAAACTAGCACTGTGATTTCTTCTTGAGTCTGCAGAGATGCTCTTGTGGAAGGAGGAGCTGAAGTCAAGAGAGCCAGAAAGGGATAAACCTAGCCCTATCTTTACTCCTGAACAAACCAAATTCCTATTGGCCAGAGATCCCGAGGCGAGCTAGTGAGGGTTTGGTGGATGTCTTACTGAGTTCTGCTGGATTGGCTTCAACTAAGTGGGGCTTATACTGGTCCCAGACACTGTTCCTTCTTGCTACCCTAACGGCTGTATATATATAAAAAAAGAGGGAATAGTGTGTTGGTGCTCTCTTGAGTTCAGTACATTGATCCCTAGTAAAACAGTTATGCATACCATAATGTAAATGTCAGTAATCGTGCATTTTAGATACAAGCCTACTTAGATGAATGCAGCAGTTCACAGTTCTGAGTTACTGTTTAGACTCTCCACAGACAGGTCAACATGACTATATCAGGTTATGCTCAATTCATGTTTTTAAGGTTTTTCATTATTTTCTTCATAGCCAGAAAAGTGGAGTCTGCTTTTTTTTTTAAATAAAAAGTGCGAGTGCAGAAGCTAAAAACAGCATCAGAAAAAGAAATGGTGCAGGTTCCATAAAACCCAGATAAATTAAAGCCCTACATCTTTTCTGCTGCAGTTAATTTCATATTAGGCTGCTAGATTTTCCAGAATACAGCAAAACTGCTAACTCTGTAAGACCACAGTTTTCTTTTGTCAGAGACAAGCTTGCACTTGAGTGCCGCTAGAGTGCCGTAACCTCCTCCTTGCATTAGGTGTCCTCTCCTTTCTTTCTTTCTTTGCTTCAGTTTGTAGTAAGCACTTCTATTTGTTAGCTGGTATGGAAACATCAGGGAGTTTAAATATATATATAAATGAGTATAAATGAGTCTGTCTATTTTTTTTTCCTGCTTTACCTACTTCTCAATCTACTGAGGAATTACTTCTCAGATCACATAAATCTGCACTGGTGGCAGCCGAATAATTGGAAAGGGAATTTCTTACCTGGGAATTTTTTTCTGTAACTTAGTTACACCAAAGTATATTTATGCCTTTCAGAAATTATAACATCCAAATAGTTCATGTTGCGTAGTACTATTCCATCTTATGACTGGAAATTTGCAAAGCTGGAAGGCTTGGGGGAGGTTGAAAGGAACAAAGAGGGAGGGACTAGGAGTTACTCTATATGAAGCCACAAAACATTTCTCCTGTTATTACTAGTTACCATCTGCTGGCTAATGTGAAAGAGAGGAATTATTCTTTAGTGTACTGGTGTTACTAAGTTACAGAAAAAAAATAACAGGTAAGAATTTCTCTTTAAGTGACACACAGTTGGAAAAAATGCTTTTCACTATTACATGTAAGCAATCAGAAGTATATAAAGAGTGATCACTTACTACTTGAAGTAAAGAAAGATACCCAAATCCTACATTATCAAAGTTTACTTTCACATTTTTCCATCGAGCACTTTGATTGGCGTCTATGAGTTCCCGGCACTGACTATAATTGTTGATTACTTCGACTTCAAACCTTTCATCAGTTGTGGTGTTAACACAGTAGTAGAACTTCCCAGCAAACAGATTTACTCCCATGATGCTGAAAATTAGCCAGAATATAAGACAAACGAGAAGCACGTTCATGATGGATGGAATTGCTCCTAAAAGGGCATTCACAACCACCTGGTACACAAATACAGGGGGAAAAAGAAAAGAGTATAAGAATATTTATAGAATATATACTGTTTTATCAATGCTTTATCAGTCTAAGCCTTCATTAAAAGCTAATACCAATACTGTTAATGCAATAAATTAATAGCAATAGTGTTACTCTAATTTACATAATGTTATCACATACTGAATGGAAGAACAAAAAAACAAAAACTAAAATATCTAAATGGAAAACAAGAATAGAAAACCTGGTGATGGTAAGATGAAGACTTACGTTCATGTGTTCTATAAAAAAGAGATAAGTATTAAATATAAATACAAAAAATCAAAATAATCTAAAAATGCCACAAATTAGGTCATATAAACTTAAAAAAAATATTTGCACCATGTAAATTTGAAAAATATACCTTTGAAATTAAAACAGAAAACAAGGATATATCTAAAAACTATGATCTACATTAAAGGTATTATTCAAAATTCATATACATATCTTTATTGTCTTATTGATCCATGCAATATAACTACAAAGATTAATTTCTTTGTATAGGAAAGCAAGACAGTTTTGCAACATGTGTTTATTTGAATCAACATAGTTTATTTCAAGCTCCAGTCTTATTATTTCATTTATTGAGTTTAATTCATTAATACCCTTCATTTATCTAAGCAAAATTAAGGGAAAATTCAGGATTTTAAAATTTATTTATAGCTAATTGCCTGTCCAAGTCCCTGGAGGCAAGATGTCACAGTAGTAATTTACAGCAGCAATCAGACCGTTTTTTTCCTAATGTCCTGGAGCCTGTTACGTGTCTGTCAAAGCTAGAAACAATTTTGGGGACTGTGTTTGGTTGAACAGCTAAGCCAATGATTTTCAGTCTTTTTAGACTCAAGACACCCCTCCATAACTTTTGTAAATCAAGCAGCACCCCATTTTAAAAACTAAAGTATTTATTACTGTGATTACCCTCCATGCAGAGGGGCCAGGGAGTGGGGGCAGGGGACCAGCCAGACAAGGAAAGCCTGAACCTGCCCTTATCCACTTCAGGGGTGGGCAAAATGTGGCCCAGGGCCCAGATGCGGCCCGCCAGGCCATTCTATCTGGCCCGCGGGGCCCCTAAAGATTTAGAAAATTAATATTTATCTGCCCTGGGCTGCCTGTGATGCTGCCCTCAGTGGCTTCCCAAAACTCAGTAAGCAGACCTCTGCCCAAAATAATTGCCTGCCACTGACTTATCTCCTCTCGCTTTCTGCTGCCCACTTCAAAAGATCTTGTGACAATCCCGGGTGCTCCTACACCCTGGTTGAAAATCACAGAGCTGATCAGTGTTCCTATATACCTGATAACAAATCTGCTCATTTACTATTAGATATATCTTTTTAATTTTGGCTTTGTCCCATAATTTGAAACTAAAAGGGGCACTATAAGAAATAAATAACATATCCACTGATGACCTGCTTCTCAGTCATTCCAATTCCGAGGCAGCATGAATACAATTGGGTTTGGCAATGCTTATGAAGATTTTACCTTTGTTTCTACATCAGGTTGTGGACTTTCCCATCCCAGGGTAATTTAGAGCAAACTCCAAACTGCCAAAATGTATATCCACTTCCCACAATTTTTGTAGGTCCTGAGAAGCAGAGGTTATTTTCAGGGAATCATATCTGGATACTTTAAGACCCCTTTCTATTACAGAGTGGCATAAAAGGCTAGGGACAGAAATTACACAAACTGATATGAGTGATTGGAAACTGGTTCAAATCTGTAACACAAAAGAAGTTCAGTGCACATAAACCACTTCAAATAGCTGAAACCAGTTTAAGATAAACCTGGATGGATGTAGTATCAAATTTACCTGATTTAGGTTATATCAGGTTATTGAACTTCTGTCCCAGATCCCTTCCAAATTCATGTTACCATACAGTCCCCTAGCCTCCCAGGGTGCTTTGAATCTCCCCTGCAATCCCCACCCCCTTCCCTTGCAGGGTGGGTGGGCTAACCTTGGCCCAAGCTATCTGCTCCAGCTGAGCAGGGAGGCATACTCTAGTTCCCCACAGCTTCTGGCCTGGGCCACTTTAGACATTTGGCTGCACTTCTGCAATCACAACTGGCTGTTCACTGCTTATCAGTTCAATCTACACAGCTTAGACTATCCTGCAAAGATTGAATTTATTCAGCCTCAGGTTTTTTGACTGTCTGTACTTAGCCAAAGAGATAATATTATAACTAAGAATCCAGCATTATCATTCTATCAATTTTGATCACTAAAACAACCAATAGTGAACATATTTTAATGATTTTTATCTTCTGTGAAAATTGTGATGTATGCTTGCTTTCTTAAAATTCCTATATTAAAAAAAATGCAATGTTCTTGCAAAATATCTGATTACCCTAATCATATGTTTCATTTAATGAAAAGGTGAGACTAAATTGAAATAGTGAGACTAAATTTCTGAACACTAGTACTTCCTTCTCCAGAGACTGAAACCAGAGTTGTAGAAAACAGGGACTTTATTCCATCTAGTAGGAAAAGTAAATCTTGTTGAATTGGTTGAAGAGACTGAGAATAAAATTAAAATTATGAACGCAAGAATTGGGGAATTCTTAACTGTTTGAATTGGTCCGTATCACTATTGGTGCTAAATTCATGTTTGAAACTCTAGGTCTGCTGGTGCCTTTGCCATTATTGCATGCAGGTATTACATGGATATTCTCCAGGATGTACAATATTTCTCTTTACCCCTCCATATACAATTTAATATTTCTGTAGAAACCTGAAAAATACACATATACATATATATAGACATATATATACACACATATGCATATGCATCTATATACACACATACATATACAAATCAGAAGTTCCAAACTCAGAATGATTTTGTTTTTGTGAATCAAGTTGTCATCACAGGCAATGGATTAGCAGCCCTGGAGACATACTGGACCACAGAACAGATTTAGTACAGGCAGCAGACTACTAACAACAATGGGTGTTTATAGATGTGCTCCAGGAGTGTGTGTGTGGGGGTGCTTTAATTAGAGCAGCTCCAAGAGCCACTCTAATTAAAGCACCTGGAGCATCATGTGTAGCAGTATCTCCACACTGCAAAATGGGTGTCAAGCAAGCTTTAGTTAAAGCGCCCCATCACCATTTTTCAGTGCGGGAACACCGATACCTGGAGTCTGCTGAAGTGCGGTAATTACCACGCTCCAATAGACTCAATTAATTGAGTTTGCTCTGATGAACTGTAATTACAGCACGTCAGACCAGCCTCGTTGCACATGTACAGGCACCCAGTGATTGAAGTCACAAATGAAAAAACTGTTAATACAGAATAGTGGTAAAAGAAAAGTTTCTACTTTGCTATCAAAATAATCTTGCATCTTCAGGTGAGAGAGCAATTCAGTCTCTCTTGTGGTTGCCAACAAGGAATTTCTTGGAATAAGAATTGAACTGTTTCTACCAACCCATTCTGTAGAGGTTACTAAACACCCACCAATGGTAACAATTTTTGTCACTACTGACCTGGCCTGGATGCAAACTGGATGCAAACTGGTGACCTACAGATGAAAGGTTTTGCAGCCTACTACCAACCCCTTAAGCTATCCAGGACCCCTAGATGTGCTATTAAGAAAATAAAATAAAATAATTTTTTTTAGATGTTTTTAGTGCCCACAATGAGCCCTGCCCAGCATATCCTGTTAGGCTGCTCACATGCTTCTAGGTCTGTTTCTATAAACTTGTGAGAATTTCTTTAGTATTTGCATGTCTATAACACAAGTAACATGTAGAGAAGGAAACAAATGGTTTTCTTTCTTGAATGAATGAAATATATTAGGGAAATCTGGATATTACCTTACATAATATATACTGTGTGTACATGTGTGTATTAATATACATATATCATGTGCTTATACACAAAGGTGTAATGATAAATAAAATATGTTTAAAAAGAGAAATCAATACAGATACAACTCTTAACTAGTTAAGCAATGTAACAAATAAAAAATTATCAGCAACCTCTCATGAGGTACGTTTTGCAGAGGTAGAACACAATTTTGACAATCATATTTCATACTGATGCTCCCTCTTCAAAGCTGAGTCAGATATACTATGTTACAAGAGATGTTTCTATTCAGACAAGGGATTGTTCTTTCCTGCTTGCCTTCTTTGATTTCTTGTTCTTGGACTAAAGTCCAAGGCCCCCATCTGCAACTACAGTTGTAGAAGAGCATGTGCAAACCTAAGTTTAAGCTACTTGTGCCCTCTCTTAGTTTCAGGGCTGGGTTTTTTTGGTCACTGCCTAATTCCCATGGGCAAATTAGAGAAATCTCAGGTTGCTTCACTTTCCCCTTGCTTCCTATGCCCCCAAATTCATGCTATGTCAGCCAGGTAGTCATTGAAGCAAAAGGACACCTTGGCCATGCCCCCTGCACAAAGTGTAATGGTTGGGATGGAATCAGAAGGGAGCTGTGCCAGTATAAAAGCTGCCATGGTAACTCTATGCCAGCCAATGATCTTGCTATTCAGGGGGAGGTTGGCAATGGTAAAAGAAGCTTTCTGTTAGCTGAGTGGTGCAAAACCACCCTAGTACAGCTTGGAATCTCTCTCCACTGAATTTGACAACTCCCACATTCTCTAGCTTAAAAGTCTAGCAATTTTCATAAAACTATAATTACTATTTTAGTATAGTATTGCCTGGAGTCCTAAATCAGATCAAGGTGCTACTGTTCTCAAGCCTATACAGACAAAAAAAAAAAAGCTCCTCTTTTAAACAGTTTTCATTCTTACTTTAAAACCAGACATAACAGGTTGATGAAACAACCTGTGTGGTAGGGGGCAGGGAAGATGAAATGGAACAACAGTAATAGATGAATGCTCTTTCCACCAGCTGTCTAAGTGGACCACCTGCCTAGCACTTATTGGCAAGCACTTAAACATTTTGCAAGTATCATGATAGGAATGAGTCTTACGGTGGGGTTGAAGGAGCATGTGGAAGTATCTTTACACATT